TAGCTAAACCTCTCTAAAAAGGTCAAATTTAACTTGTTTTGCCTCAATCTTGATACAGGGTACTTATTATATGTTATACTTTGGATTCCTAAAGCTTTTAGTCTACTATTCCATCATTCAAGGGTAGTTTTCACTATAAGTAATGTTTTTTTTTTAGGCGGTGGTAAGAATTTACCTTTTTTTTACTATGTTCCATCTGAATTTACTCTGACTGAGAAATATCTATATTGATTCTGACACTTCTAAATCCAACTCACAGATGTAACCTTGCTTTTATAAAATAAATTATTCATATAACCCTTTTAGAAGTTAAGTTATAGTCATTTGTTTTGGGCATAGCATTTTCGAGCCTGAAACCTTAAAAACAGGCTCAGGGTTTAAGAGGTTAACCCATGTTAACCAGTGGAGAAATAACCGGAAATACCAAGCAAATGCTACCCCGACGTAATGATTTATTTTGTAATAGTCACACTCGATTACGGCAATTTTCTTGTTGCCCCAGCTGGTCGACACCTCTTTTAGCAGAAACAAAGGCTACATTAATGTATTAAATCGATGTTAATCCGTGCGTGTGGATGTGGAATTAACGGACGTGACGTTGTGCGATTGAGTTGCCAAGCAACAGCTTCGGTTCATGTTAATTTACAAACTATTCAACTACAACCATAGTTATATTTAAAAACATGTTAGAAGGCCTCACAAAATACTTTAATGCACATTAAAATGTAAATGTGAAGGAATGTGTGTATAACAAAATACATCGGTCATTAAACGAAACCGGAAACAGACGTAGGCAAGATCCTCAGCTCGATGATTGGATGGTTATCGGCAATGCATGCTGGGATTTGGTGTTTATGTGATGTGAAATCTGAAAACGTTTTTTAAAAATACAATAATACTTTATTCCGAGTGTGCTTGCTTTTCTCTTTGAAAGTCATCACATAACGGCATTGTAATACACGGTTTCGGCTGCATTAAATATTACATATCTGCCGTAATTCTCTATTTATAGAGCCCTGCTGAGAAGACTTCTAGACAAACAGGAGAACTGCCGCCAAAACTGAAGATGTGACGTGGATCATAAATATATAAGCAATTATACAACATCTTACATATCTTTTCACACAATGCGTCTCCTTGCAGTATCAACACTAATTCGGCTGACTTTTATATTTGATCCAATTGGTAGATAGGCTGTATTTACACCATAACGGTGCAGAGCTGATAGAAAGGGACATCTGGTGGTTAAAGCACGTTATTGAATTTTATTATTTTATGTTAGATGTATTCGTCTGTTTCCGGTTTCGTTTAATGACCGATGTATTTTGTTATACACACATTCCTTCACATTTACATTTTAATGTGCATTAAAGTATTTCGTGAGGCCTTCTAACATGTTTTTAAATATAACTACGGTTGTAGTTGAATAGTTTGTAAATTAACATGAACCGAAGCTGTTGCTTGGCAACTCAATCGCACAACGTCACGTCCGTTAATTCCACATCCACACGCACGGATTAACATCGATTTAATACATTAATGTAGCCTTTGTTTCTGCTAAAAGAGGTGTCGACCAGCTGGGGCAACAAGAAAATTGCCGTAATCGAGTGTGACTATTACAAAATAAATCATTACGTCGGGGTAGCATTTGCTTGGTATTTCCGGTTATTTCTCCACTGGTTAACATGGGTTAACAATACCGTGTAGCTGTCACGTTTGAAGGGGACGAAATCGTGACATCTTCACGTCTCCCAGCATGGTAAATCGTCACATGTTCACGTCTTGCCGTGATACCGGGTTGGATTAACAATGACATTAAGGACACAATTATATCTATTATGTTGCTTTATAATGTTGCTGAACTTCTGAACTTAAGTCTTGCAAAGATTTCCCACCAATCCAAAGAGTTTCACAGTAAATGTCGATATCCACTTAAATAATAATGTAAAGAATCATAAAATCTATTTAAAATGACACAGTGGGAACACGGCTGGTACCTCATCATAATGACTGTGGTGTTTGGAATCCTTTCACACTCATATTACCAATGGTGCAACTGAAGATGAAACCATATAATACATATCATTCGAACCATTTTGACCTAAACTCTCAGCAACCACTTGTGCTGTTTTGTCTTGTTTGTCTCACTGCATGTTTCCACAACTTTAATCATGAAGGGCCTCATTTCTCTCTGAAATATTGTCATCAATATCATCTCTCTTTTGCTCAAAACTGTCTGCAAACCCAGATAATTCACCATGGTTTATCTGGCTTTGTTGTTGAGGTCATAGGCTCTTGTTGTTTGATGGCAAAAACAAATCCCATCAAACACAGACAACCTATGACCTTAAAGTTAGTGTTTTTGTGCAGAATTATGATACCTGTTGTTGCACTAACTGCAGTGCAGAATTATTCCTCCGCTTGTGAGAGATAATGCACCAAGGAGTGACAAAACAAAAGCAGCAGAAGTATTCGTGTGGTGATTTAAGCCAACATTTTGCCTCTATATTGGTCTTGTTATACCATTCATTACTTACATTACTTTACAATACATCATATTTCCCTCAAATTTTGAGGCAATTTATTTCATTTGTTTTGTAAGTGCTGGTGGCAATTTGATCATGCAGGTTAATTGAGTGAGGGAGATGGTCTCAAGTAATCCTTGAAACATCAATTTTCCTAATATAGAGGCTCCTAATAGAGTTATGGACTTAATTTAAAAATAGAAGCTGTAACAGCTCATTACCCATGCAGTCAAGCCCACTCCAAGTATTACCTGCTATTAGCAGCACATGAGATACCTATAGGTGTTTACATTTGAACAAAACGTAATTTCAATGCAAATGGTATCTCCGAAGAGAACGTTTAAAGCAATAAAGAATATTTGATATCCTGCAATTGTGATTATACGTTTAGTGTTATAGAGGGGCTAAACAATTTCCATAAAACAATATGTGTCAATATTGTGTCTATATACGCCGGGATCCGGAGTCGAGGCTGATCCTCTTGCTGTAGTCCTGTGTCTTCGATCCTCTATCCTGAGTTCTGGATTAAGTCGTGGACTTCGGGTCGTGGCCAGTGGTGTAGTGGGCGTTGGACGCGGGGGTACGCCGTACCCCCACTTATTTGGAGCATGATCTTTTTTTCAATAGTCTAATACATAAAATCATTGCCAGTGTTATTAGTTGCAAGTGTGTGTTTGTTGTAATAATGACAAAAACATAATTCATTTCACAGTAAGTAATTAGAATAAAAACTAAAAACGATTTCCTTAAAAAATTATGCTTCGTGATCACGCTCGTGACCCCGCGGCGAGCTGGGGGTGCCAGTGACACACCCCCAGCTCGCCGCCCGCCGATTTTGCGGCAGCTCTTTCCCTCAAGAACGCTAACGAAAAAGCTCTATAATGGCAGAATTTTTTTTTTTTACTTTACTTATTTTCTAAAAAGAATATCATTCACAAGAAGAAAGAGGCTAGCAGCACCGAAGCTACAAGTGAAGCTGCTACTAGTACTACATCACCAGAAGAGCCGTGGATAATGCTAGCACTAACGTTAACGTTAGCTGCGCTAGCAACGTTCGCCTGGCTAGCTCAAGCTCACCTTTCCCAGAGGTATGGACGGAGGAGATGTGGCGGAGGAAACAAGAGGTGTGTGTGTGTGTGTGTGTGTGTGTGTGTGTGTGTGTGTGTGTGTGTGTGTGTGTGTGTGTGTGTGTGTCTGTGTGTGTGTGTGTGTGTGTGTGTGTGTGTGTGTGTGTGTGTGTGTGTGTGTGTGTGTGTGTGTGTGTGTGTGTGTGTGTGTGTGTGTGAGACTGTGTGTATGTGAGACTGTGTGTGTGTGAGACTGTGTGTGTGTGAGACTGCGTGTGTGTGAGACTGTGTGAAGCAGCGCTGTCTGCTTATTTGCAATGTAGGCTTAATCAGAATAATTTCAAATCCAGATTCAATGTTCTTTGCATAAGTAGGCTATATTTTTCGTTTCGTTTATTTAATACGTTAATTTCAGGACAACTTTGGGAATTTTGTTTGTTTGTTATGAGTTTTAAATAGATTTTGAAAGTGGAGATAGAGAGAGAGAGAGAAGCAGCGCTGTCTGCTTAGTTGCAATACTGTAGCTTATGCAATTTAGGCCTATACATTGTTTATGTAATGTATGTATCTGTGTGTCCATGGTTTTGAGTCTGTGTGTGTGTTGAGCGCAGCGCCGTCTTCTTTTCGCAGTACAGTAACTACAGTAGGATTAAGCATACATGCCGGTTTCTGTGGACCTGTCTGCCCGTTTTGTGAGTGCACTGCGCGTGTGCGCACTTGTGTGGCATTGTTTGGACCTAATTAAAATAGCGTCCCCCCAGTAAAAAAATCCCCACTACACCACTGGTCGTGGCTGAACCTGTCTCTGCGGTCCTGCCTTGGGTCTCGTCATGCTGCTTCCCTGATGACTTCCACAGGATTGTAGCTGACATCCTCGTGGATTCATTTTCTTATTACAGACACATGTATGCATTTCCTAACATTCGGTCTATATGCTGTAAAATGTATCTCTTCGATTTACACACGGCATCTATTGCACGTCTGTCCGTCCTGGGAGAGGGATCCCTCCTCTGTTGCTCTCCCTGAGGTTTCTCCCATTTTCCCCCCTTAAACTGTGGGTTTTCTATGGAAGTTTTTCCTTGTACGATGTGAGGGTCTAAGGATAGAGGGTGTCGTTTTTCTCATACTGATATTCTGAACAATCTGTGCTGTTGTATTTGCTGTAAAGTGTCTCTACTGTAGGCTATTTTTAGTACAGCACTTTGGCTCGACCAAAAATCGTTTATAAATGTGCTATATAAATAAAACTTGATTTGATTTTGATTTGAATATGTCATTTCAGTTCTCTGCTTCCCCTCCTGATTTTTTCCTTTTCCGTGAGGGTTGTGGGTTGCTCCCTGTGTTGGTGTGTGAGTCCTGCTGCGGTCTTTCACGGAGAAGGAGAAGATATCAGCGTCACACTGACGGGTGAGGAGCGTTATTATCGCTCCACTCCGCCGCGTCTCCACTGGCAGTGCTCCACAACCCGCGGTCACTGAAGACACTCGCTGAACAGCAGGAATACCACAGACACATAAATACCTCGAAGGATGTCTGGGATCACAGGGAATTCTGATTGCGAGGAGTGTTTATCTTCGGCACATGTGGCCAACATCAGCGCGGAGTTACACCCGCATGATGATGACGACGACGAACTTCTGAGATACATCTGGAGAGAGTACTTACACCCCAAGCAGTATGAGTGGGTTCTCATCGTTGCTTACATTATTGTTTTCTTCGTCTCTCTCATTGGAAACTCCTTGGGTAAGTTGCACCTCTGTAATGTCCTTTTCCATGCATGCGCAATCGGTGCTGTAAATATCCTACAAAACACTTTTGACAACTTTTTGGGAGAATGTGAATGAGCACAGTGTTACTAGGACAGAAAGTTGATCACCTGGGATGAAAAAACGAAATAGTTACGTTTTTTTATGATCAGTGAAAGTGCAGCTTCTGATGGAGAAGGATCAAGGAGGAGAGTGTGTCTTTTGGTGAAGCAAAGTGCACATACACAGTTCCTGAATTGGATTAAAACTACAGACATAACACTTATACCACAGTGTGAGGGGCCACGTTTGATCTCAGGCTAAGTGGGGGAACAGATAGCTTTATATAATGATAGAATTACGTGATGCCCCAATTACAATTTTGTCTCAATTTCATGTAATCTCCACAATTGTCTCTTATTGGGCTGTGTTGCTGGATATGTCGGAGGTATTTGAGAAAGCCATTTATAATCAGATTTATACTGATAATATGAGGCAAAGGCAGTGAGCAAGAGCTTTTCTACAATGTAAAGTGGACTCAAAATGACAATTCAGTTGCTTCTCTGTCTTTTATTGACCATACCATAAACTCACATGGTTGCAATTTATAGAAAAACATATTGTGAAATATTTGGCACTATTCTTAATTTTTTTTATATACCAGTGACAGGAAGTGAGAGTTATTGCAATAAGCTGCCCAGTCTGATCCATTTGATCTCAACTCCCCAAGGCTTTTTGTGCCAATATATGTTTTTCATCGCACTGCAGGATTCCTCCCTCTCTTATTAACTGAAGATTTTCGACTTCACTGGAACCATTGTTTTGATTGATAACACAGTTTTGTCATAATTGCTCACATTACATTTTTACATTACATTACATTGCATTTAGCTGACGCTTTTATCCAAAGCGACTTACAATAAGTGCGTTCGTCCAACAAAATACAACTTGAAGAAAACAGAATCATATAAGTACATCAGGTTTCATAGAGCAAAAACATTTCAAGTGCTACTCAACTGGCTTTAGAAAAGCCAGTCCTTTATTAGTATAAAAGTGCTTCGTTAATAGTTCTATCCCTCGAAGTGGAGTCGAAAGAGATGAGTTTTCAGTTTGCGCCGGAAGATGTGCAAGCTATCTGCCGTCCTGATGTCAATGGGGAGCTCATTCCACCATCCTGGAGCCAGGACAGAAAACCCACGTGTTTTCGCCGTTGGGAACTTGGGTCCCCCTCGCAGCGAGGGCGCAGCGAGTCGTTTGGCTGATGCAGAGCGTAGTGCACGCGCTGGGGTGTACGGTTTAACCATGTCCTGGATGTACGAAGGGCCAGATCCATTCGCAGCATGGTAAGCAAGTAGTGTCTTGAAGTGGATTCTAGCAGTTACCGGAAGCCAGTGAAGCGAGCGTTGGAGCGGAGTAGTGTGGGAAAATTTAGGAAGGTTGAAGACCAGACGAGCCGCTGCATTCTGGATGAGCTGCAGAGGTCGGATGGCACATGCAGGTAGACCAGCCAGGAGGGAGTTGCAGTAGTCTAGGCGTGAGATGACGAGAGCCTGGACTAGAACCTGAGTCGCTTTCTGTGTCAGCTGGGGACGTATCTTCCTGATGTTGTAACACCTATTAATTGGTTCAAATATTTGTCTGAAAAATGCAGGACCTTTGAAACAGCTGTGCATATGTTAGCTCCTTCTTACAACTATCTCTTAATTTGCAATTAGATGTAATGAAGTATTTATTCCTAATTCATTAGATAAAGTATGTGTCATGCATATTTCATACTGAAAGGTTAATGAAACAGTTCATATACATATTTTATTGCTGAGGTGTATTTGTCATTGTATAGCAGTGTGGCAATATATCACATTTCCTCCTCACTTTATGCAGCACAAGGGAGAATACAACCATTCAAATAGTCTTACTATAATGAATGAGAAATGTGAAGTGAATTTAGGCCTTGTAACTAATTCACCAGCACTTACTATGATCAGCTTGAAGTGAATATATCTATACTTTCTTAGTTTGAATCTTTAAGGTTTTTGCACTTATTGTATGTCGCTTTGGATAAAAGCATCAGCCAAATGAAATGTAATTTATTTATTTGATTGAATATACTGTATTTAAAGAACATTTTTGTCAAGGAGTGAACTCTGAGGCATGAACTCAATTGCACGACTCAAACTCAGACTCGGATAGTGTTTCAAAATAAGACTTTACTGGGATTTGCACAGTAATGAAAACAAGGAAAACAAAAACACTATTTCGAGGAAAACTAGAACAGTGATCGATAACATAGATCCGTGAGAAGTCCGTGAGGTAAGCAGTAACGTAGGTCATAGAGAGACAACGAACTGACAATGAACAGGAGGGAGCTAACACAATATATACACAGGTAAAGGGGACACAGGTGGAAACAATCAGGGCGGGGAAAACAATCAAGGACGCAGGAGACAGAAGGGGGCGGGGAGCGTGGAGGCCTGAAATGAGAGGGATAATTAATTAACCTCTTAAGCCCCAAGCCTGTTTTTCAGGTTTCAGGCTCGAAAATGACATGCCCAAAACAAAGGACTATAACTTAACTTCTAAAGGGGTTTTATGAATAATTTCTTTTATCAAAGCAAGGTCACATCTGTGAGTTGGATGTAGAAGTGTCAGAATCAATAAAGATGTTTCAGTGTCAGAGTAAATCCAGATGGAACATAGTCAAAAAGTGTACATTTTTGTCTCCGCCCAAATAAAACCCATTACTTATAGTGAAAACCACCCTTGAATGATAGGTTAGTAGCCTACAAGCTTTATGAATCCAAAGTATAACATATAATAAGTACCCTGTATCAAGATTGAGGCAAAACAAGTGAGAATTGACCTTTTTAGAGAGATTTAGCAAAAATAGTCCAAGCGGACTAAGCTTTGGGCACATTTGGGTACATTTGGTTCCATCGATGCCATTTAACCTTTTTCAGGTACCAGACTGTAAAAATCATTGTATAACATTTAATTATCACTATGATTCATTCCATACAAAATAAATAATAATAGCAACAAAAAAAAATGAGGTGCATGTTACTTGCACAATAAAAATTAGGAAACTTAGGAAACATTTGACTCCAACTGGAGCAGATTTATTTAAAAAAAATTAGCAACACACTATACAACAAGCATTTTTTGGGTAAAAAAAAAAAACTTTATACAAACCCTGAATGTTACAGTATTACTCCAGTAAGTCATGCCATGCCCTGTAACAGTTATGTTTGGTAGTGAAGCACAGAGGGACCTGACACTTCCTGCAGTACACAGGTGTCTTCACCCTTCTGTTGCCAGCATCAGAGCACCTCCTACAGTACCTCCTGACCTTGGTGGCATCTTCCCCATAATACTCGGGCATCCAGAAGCCATATCCTCATCGCCTTCCTCACTGTGAAAAGAAATGTGGAAAAAACAAATAATTAATTCTCTGGCTTGTACTTTCAAAAATGTAACTCAAATCAGAAATAATTTCTCTACAACAACAACAACAGCAGAACATCAATTTTTAGTGTGTGAAATAACATTATATCACTCAAAATGTATACCGTGTAAATTATGTGAGACAGGGTTTATATAATCTTTTCAATATTTAATAATATTCCGTCTGTCATATATTTATATATATATGTATATTGGGTATATACATATTATGTATGCATGTGTGTGTGTATATATATATAATATAAGTAATAATTGTAAGTCGCTTTGGATAAAAGCGTCAGCTAAATGAAATGTAATACCGTGTTAAATTCAACATGTATATGTCTTGTTTATTTCAACAACAAGAACAAGAAACGGCATCCATCTTCTTTGTTTGTTGTTGAGTGTGTGAAAGAACATTATATCACAAGATGGATGCCGTCGTGTTATTGTCACGTGTGTGAAATTACTATAGATGAATACACTCTTACACCAAATAAATAACAAAAAGATAAAAACAGATGAATACTCTTACACCAAATAAATAAGTAATAGATACAAACAGAGAGATTACATACCTTTCCGGTGACGGAGGTTCATAATCAGAGTCATTACTGTCCCCTTTATGCGAGACGAGATCACTATCTTCCGACGGAGAGTCCTGAAATACGATGTCCAATGCCTCCTCGACGGACAAAAAAGTCTTCTTTCTGGCTGCCATTGCTACAATGAAGACAAAGAAAACAAATCCTGTTGTTTCGCTGATCGATCTGCCGTTCTCTGCTCTCCTGTCGCCGCGGGACATGCTATGCTGCGTAAAAAGAGTGGGCTGTGCGCAAGATCCTATCTCTTGAACCCATTGGTCGATTTGGGTGATTGACACCTTTTTTGAATCGTTAGAGCCAATCGAATCGAGTGGCAGTTTCAAAATACGTAAATACGTTACGACTGCGGAGGGGGAGCTATGCGTAAACTGCATCTCCCACAGCTGAAGCCACGGACTGTTAATCGCTGGACCTACTCTTCTGCCGTGAATGAAAGGATTGATTATCAGTAATCATTTTAAAGTGACAAGAGACATTGGATTAACCTTGAGCAGCGTTTTTATTCCTTTGAACACAACTTTAGATCACAAAACAGCCAAGGTAAGACCTCATTATTGTCATGGATTTGAAAACTGATATTGTTTACTGGCTGTTCTGGCTGCTAGCTCGGTTAATGTTGTGCCTGTAGTGATTGGGTGTATACCCATGGAATCTGTGGAATCTCAGCTTTCAGAAAATGTGTTGTTTGTGCAGAAAGTATGATTTATAAATGATTGTTTTTGTGAGTTATGAGCAGAAATAGCAATTGCCCGTTTTTGCCATGGGCTCATTTAGAGGCTTCTTGTGAGATGTATTTTTCGAATTTTCTTTTTCTTTTTCTTATCGTCAGTTAGCCAAGTTTCCTCCGGTCAGATGGGTATGGAATATTAATAGTTTCATGAATGACACTTCAGATATAGCACTGTTGCTACATATATAGCATTTTCGGACCCGAGCTCGGGTCCGTGGGGCTTAAGAGGTTTTTAAGGGAATAAACATAAAGCACAGGACAAAGGGACATGACAAAACTAACATAAAGAATAAACTTTCACTATAAGTTTCTTGGACATGACAATTTTCTCACTGCAAAAAAATACTGCTTGAGTCAGAAAAAAAGTGTAATATTGTAGAAGGAACACACGTTTATTCTTTTCGGGTATCAACACATGCTGAATGTTGCAGACTCACAGAAATAATGCATACAGCTCAGTGCAGCAGGTATTTCTGTCTGACTGACAGATGCACTGTCAATAACATGGAGCTGCACACGTTTGGTTTGGCAGTAATCCAACGCTAATATTGATCACCCCAATGAATATGTCCATGCCACAAATAGCAAGAAATCACATTAGGTTGTCTTCTCTCTCCCATTGAAAGAAAACAACATAAATATACGTAATTAATACTTGTAGGTTACATTGACGGGCCATTAGTTTCAGAGCTGACAGGTTCTCATTATAGTTGTCTCCATTATAATGTGAAACATCGCTTTTATAATCATCCTAGTTTCTAATTTTTTGTCATTTTGTGTCTCACACTTTGTTTTTTTAATGCAGTAGCTTTTAGTGAGTGAAGTAAATATGGCCAAATTGGTTTAGAGAAGAAAGCTGTAATGGGGGTAAGAATATGTTGACTCTCTAAATGGCACTAAATGTAATCGAATCAAGCTATGTAGGAGTGGTCTGTGCAATAAACAGTGTTACATAAAGAACAGTATTGTGTAGTGTAGCCTGTTAGTAAAACAAACATAAATTAAACTGAAAACTTTCGAGAAACATCCGAGAACAATGGCGCTTGCAAATTTCACACAAAGGAATTGTAAAAGAAAACTTCTAGCAACATATCTGAGTCATTAGGGCAATCTCTTATAAACGACTGCATTTACTGTGCTGCATCAGCCAGAAAAAGGAACAATGAAAAGGAGAGTGGTCATATATGTTGTTATTAATGAAGACATACCATTAAGATTTCAAAGCAAGGTGAAAAATGATTGGAAATCGTCCTTTCTAGTAGAATCTACTGCAGCCTCAACAATCTCAGAGGGAAAGAGAAAAGACTTCAGATACATTCAAAGCAATCCCAGCATCTACAGTATGCGCTCCTCAATTCACAGACAAGCAGAGGCCAATAGTGGAGCTAATTGTAGGCGCTGCTGCATTATGAACACAATTCACATGAGAAAATGAAGAGTTTCATTTCAAAGGGACAAAAGGAATGCATCACTATTGACAATGATATCACTGTCGGAGAAACTGTAATGTATCCCATTAACATAATAGATATTAAACTGCAGGTCATTATCCATTCATTTTCCATTGTAACAGCTGAAGGTTAAATGTATGAGTATTTGTTATCGGCTTTATTTCCACCTGATGAATAAAACTGATCATGAATTTGCTGATAATGATTACTTTTTTTCACACTCCTTTCCTGGGGTATATGACTTAGGTCATCAGATAACAAGAGAGTTAAAAGTCAAAAAGCCAAATCTTAGTTAAAAGTTGTGAAGTCATTTGACATGCCTTGACTATCTAGAAGTGGACACCAGTTAATGTTTAAATATATTCAGGTGAGGAAGTTAAAATAACAGCACCAGTCTTACTGAGACAGAAAAGCTTGGAATCAAAGTAAGATTAAATATGCCCCTTTAAATTATGTAAAAATAACCTTCAACAAATGCCTGCCGGTTTACACCATGGAGAGGTGTGATAAAGGTTTATTTGTTCGTTAGAGGATCCTTCTGTTTGTCAAAGAGCATCAAACGTAATGATGAAATCTTCTAAACATTCCTATGTGAAGCTGAGGCAATAACAGTTCACCAACACTCCTCGAACATCAACTTTAAGTGAACCAGAAACACACGCAGATAACCAAGTCGAAAACAACAAACAAAGCTCTTTTGGACTGGAAGAAAAGATGATATCTTCCTCTGATCCAGGCCTTGCAGAAGTTGAAAAGCACCAAGAGAAACCTCAGAACAGGAGATTTTGTTGTAAAAGCCCCCAGAGGCTCATGGATCTTGGGTAGAGTCATTGAAGTGAAGGCCAACTCGAGAGGACAAGTCATGAGTGTACTTCTGAAAGAAAAATATTAGAACTCTAGAACAGCCAATCAGCAAGATATTCCTCTTAGTCGAAGCCCCAGATTGGATCAAGAAGCAAGTGCACTCAAAGACATAACTGTTATTCCAAATATAGAAGACATAGACACTTAAAAGATAGAAACATATAAAAGTGTTTTTTTGCTTTGGCTACATTTTTTATTCAATTGAATTGTTACATTTTCCACTCAAACAATAGGGGCTGGTTAGCAAGAGCCATGTATGAATATGAAAATGAATTTCTGCATGAAACAGTATGTAAAAAGTAATTTTGTTTATAGTACACCACTAAAATGTCCTTTCACTGCATGGTGATGACCGGCTGTTGCATTTTATAGACATCCCTAGTTCATCCAGCAGCACATGTCAGCATCAGATACATACATGGTTACTATACAAATTAATTTAATTATGACCAAAAACAAGAGCAGGAGATTAAAGAGTGTCTTTGTGGTAGACACCTGCAGACCAAGGCACATCTACAAAAGTCTTGAGTTGATTAAGCCCATTACTTCCAAAATAGTGAGGAGTTTATTATTTTTGTGTCTGTGCAAACAGATCCTGTTTGCTTCCTGAGGATTTCATCTTTTCATCTTGTGTTGTGTTCAAATCAAACAGCATATTTGAACAATAACTAATTCAAAGCTGACCCACTTCCCCAGGATCATGTGTACCAGTGAACTCGACAGGTGTATATAATAATTGATATTAGCATTGTAAATAGCAATGATATAAGCAAAAGTAGTTATGGAAAAATAAAAATAATGATCTGTACCTCATATGGCAGCCTTTACCACCAGTGTATATTTGAATGGTTGAATGCTGACTTATGTTGTAAAAGCGCTTTGAGTGATTGCAAAGACTAGGGTTGCGGTCCAATAGTCCATTTAGCTTAGTCTTAGTCTTCCTAACCAAGTGAAATGACCCGGAAGTACGTCAGTGGCAGCCATGATAAGTGCCGTTCCAATTCTCTAGATGAAAGGAAAGGAGGTTTCAAACTTCCTTTATAACCTCCTTTAGCTTAGGAACCACTGGACCTCCCTTTACGAAAGGAGAGGAGAAAATGCTGCCCCACAATGCATTGCAGCCGCAGCATTTGCCGTCACTCAACAGTCGGCCGTTCACGGAAACAACCGATTATGACCGAGAAATTATATCATGAAAGTTACGGTGCTTATTAAGCATTTTAAAACGTATGTGGTAAGTTGCCAAAGTGTTTTGTTTTGAACGATCATCAGTATTATAATCAAAAAGAGAAATATGAACCTTCGTTTTTACTGAAATTATCAAATAAAGTCAACATCTCACAGTCTTTACTGAGCTGTGTGGGGTTTGTTCAACTTTTAAAAGATGTTTGAATGGTGACATACACAGTGATAGATGTTAAGGACTAACGTTTATAATAAATACAGCATTGATTTTAAGATCTTTTCATACAATCATACGTATTGGGATCATTTGTATTAATGTGGACCGGAGGAAGAGGGTGAGCATAAGTTTCATTTTCCATTTTTTATTTAATTTCCAACTTTGGTCATGAAGAATATGTTTCTCTGTTGTCCCCGTTCATAAAGCATAAAACAACAGCATCAGAGCACGGTGCAGAGTCTCTAGATGAGTTTACAGTAGTCCGTTGTTCTTATTATACATCCATGTTGTAGTCTGCTGTATAGAAAACTGTAGTTTCCATAGTTTCCCCACAGCAGCAGACGCACATTCATGACGTCAGCTGCCGCATCATAAACACGTCGGATAGTGAAAGTGCATTCGAATTCTCTAAACTTTAAAGTACTCTCCTAAGTCCTTTTGAATTCTCCTATCCACTATTCCTTAACCCCGTGACGTTTCACACAGAGGTCAAGGAATAGACGATAGGGATAGACGATAGGAGCTGATTTTTGGACTGAGGACTCTTTTTCATTAATCTACTCTATTTACCATTTTACTCATTCTAGATATAAGCTACTCACTTTATGTTAGAAGGGATACTGTGTATAGTTTGGGGGACACATTGATTATATTAGAAATAA